TTCGAATTTCAAGATCAGAATTGAATTGGATCATACCGGGTGGGGGGGGGGCAGTGGCGCAACGGTTTAGCAGTTTGCTTCGCGCGCTAGAGGTGACCTTCTGACTCCAAACCTAAGAACTACTGCATACGACCAAAAGAACGTCTGAAGTTCATTCATCTCCTTGCCTTGAAGAAGGCTCATGGAACATGGGCTGAAACGTTGGTACTGATCAAACATTTGATTTGCCAAATTATTTGCGTTGTTTATAAATAAGTTTTTTATGCTGTTTTCAAACTCACATTAAGACTGATACTTACCTAAAGTCCAAATTCTCTTTTATTGTGCGTTTGTTTGCGCACTTGTTAGTCAGTTATAAATTGTGTAAAGAAGCATATTTACTAGGCGGCCCATACAATTTTAACATCCGTAGACTGTGTCCAAATTTATTTTGAATTTTTAGTGTTTTCTTTTCCTAGTCATTCTTTTCAAAACTGCTACTCTTCAGTTTATTTCACTTCTTTTCTCAAACTACATTCCTCTGAGTTCATATGATTTATATTAGGAAGATCCAACTTCGCCAAGCTACAACATCGAGGATTTGGCCAAAGCGTTTATCAACGTTTCTACACAACAGGTTTAGTGGTTCTTTGATTTCTGATGTTCGTCATGCTCTCTGAATGTTTAAAGGCTAAAGCGTTTCGCACCAACAACATTATGATGCTCATGGGAGGCGACTTTCATTACATGTCTGCCGGCATTTGGTTTAACAATCTGGACAAATTGATGAATTACATAAACCATATGGTAATCTAATTTCCTTCAACTATTTTGCTGATCCTACTTGCAGCAGTCGAATGGCAATAAAATAAACGTGATTTATTCTACGCCTACATGTTATTACCGAGCGCTGAAGAAATCCGGCCAAGAGGTCCAATTTCCTGTGAAGAAGGACGACTTTTTTCCGTACGCAACTGACCACCACGCTTACTGGACAGGATATTTTAGCAGCCGGCCAGCGTTGAAAAGACTCGTGCGACATGCAAATAATATCTTACAGGTGAGCCATATGCTCAGCTATGGACATGTAAATCCTGTTTTTAAATTTTAGCGAATCTCCAGTAACTGAAAAATTAGCCCTTCTTAATAGTAAGTATCATAACGTAGTCATTTCCATTCCGCCGCACCACTCAAAGATGCATAACCATTAGTGTTGCAGGCCAATTATTAAGTAGGATAATAATATATATAGCTGGAAAGACAAACCTACGCCTGATTGCATTTCTACTCCTAGTATTAATCTTTGGCCTAATATATTACATAAACCTAGCTTATTTGGGGTTTATTCCAAATACGGAACAGGATGATCATTTCATGGATATGTTTCGGCTGCCCTTAAACAAATAAGTCAACTTACTGTTTCTGTCCTTATTGCTTTTACCCTCAACGTTTTCAATGATATGCACTGGGGCGGGGTGGGGCAAATTCAATATCCGTAAGACCGAAAAACTACAAAAGAAGATCCTTTATTTCCTAGTTTCACGCAGTGGTGCATGTATGGGCCTCCTTATTTACGTATTTCATCAGGAGGGGTTCAGTAGTGCCCGAACTTGTTATTTATTTACGTCTACAGTTACAACGTCTGTCATTTCCACTCGTTTGTCCTAACACGTTTTGAATGGTGTTTTTCAGAGATAAATGAATTGTAAATCTCAGCGTAGACACAAAAGGAACAACGACAAAAATTACATGGATCGATTCGGATATATTAAATAATGTTTTGATCGATGATGAGATAACACACGAGTTTGAACGATTATTGTATTTTCTATTTTTTTTTCTTGATCTCGGGAAAACATATCATCCTCCCAATGTCAACAGATCTCGTTTCATATTATTCCTTAGCCTTTGAGTCGTTATCATTTGTCTACTACATGAAGCAAACGACTTAAGGAAAATATATTTTTGGTGTCTTCTTTTACGTTGGGCGACCCACAGCCATTCCCTTCAAGTTTGTAACAAAAATTTCTTACCTTGACAGATTTACCGTAAAACCATAGACAGATCTATCAACCCCTGACTACCACTACCTCCTTGACCGACTGTTTTAAGGTTCGTAAAAGACCTCACTGCTAAAGTAGCTGCACACTCACTCTACCGTCGTACTTCCTACCAGCTTTGTTGAACACACCTCCTATAGCATAATACCATCAGGTCACATGATCTTATGGCACCACTTCCTCGCTACTAAACACTTAAGGTTCTGTTTATAGTGGTTACGGTTTCGCGGTATTTTGCATCCTAAATTATACAGAACTGTTTCTCTGTGCAGTTGATGATAAAGCAAACAAAGGCTGGTGGAACATCATTAATGCCAATTAAGATATTACTCTAATAAATAATATGGCGCAAAATGCAGATTTACAAAACTACGTGAGCGTGTCTTGCTTGAAGGACTTAGTGGCACCTCACAGCACGTGAGTGACACTGTTACAGTGTGTGAACTTGTTTCTAGTATCGCGATCAATAATATATTCCCGGCGTACAAACCGGCCTCTTGATGCTACTGTCTGACAGGCAGACAGAATGATAAAAGGATCGATTGTCCAACTGAGCGATGGATTGATGTCATATATTCCGAACTCATTATAACATATAGTATATATTTGTATCAGCACGCTCCAACAAGATGAATTTTTTTCCACTTCTTTAACAAAACACGGCTTTAAGCGCGATGGATTTTGGAACGGAATGGCTTTAAGCTGTCATCAGGAACGAAAGCCATTCAATATTTTTCAGCAAAGGATTCAGCAACGCAGACATTGTTGAAAATTTTTCTATTATTCTAATGATTGCATTTGTTTCGGAAGCGGGAACATTGATTAAAGTTTAAAAATTCACCGCACCTAAAGCTATCTTTTCTTGAGGAAGTTGACGATAGATTATTATGATACGGCATTTGTGCGCAGCAGTACTACTGACGGAAAGAAGTTGTAGTACTTTGGAGTTAGAGTAGGAGACAAGTAGTCGAATTCTTAAACCAGCAGTTATGCTAGTCGTGTAGTACTTAAGAAAAATGCTGGACAGACGATGTTTAGGTGTGTCAAATGCTTAATGCAGCAACGCAGCTGGATTCCACCGACTACTCGGACGTTTCTGTTCTGCGTAAGTTTTATTCCCAGTGTTAAATGAACGTTAGACATGAACAATTTCAGGCTTTGCCCTGGCGATTTCCCAACATCACGACGCTATAACGTAA